TGCATGTTTATGTGTATTAATGCTATAGATCTAGAGATTGTCAAGACATAGTACTTAATGGAATGTTCTTGTTGTTTATTTGATGATTCATACTCATTTCTTGATGGATTGTACCTCTCCCTTAGTTTAATTTCATGTCATTAGCTTAATTGTAGTGTAGTTGTAGTTTAGATGTTAAATGGGAGGATAATCCATGCTTGTTGTTTGATGTTCTATATTTATGAAAGCAAGTATCATATATCTTTAACCTTGTGATGTGTTTGGATTGTGAGCTTAAAGAAAGGATTAATGGCTTAATTTGATATATTGTGCTATCCATCATGTTGCTTAGACAATATATGCTTAATTTGTCATGCATGCTTGTTGAAACAACCACACACACACACTATGTTGTAATACATGTTTTTCCCCTCATTAATCATTCATTAAGGGTGTAGAAAAGTTATGCTTAGTAGTGACCTTTAAACCCCAAGATCTCTCTCTTATTTTCTCTCCATTACATTTAATTGCTTACTTTAGTATAAATTGCATCTTAGTGTAATTCAACTACCAATCAATCTTTGATCACTCGACCTACTAACATTAATATCGATTCCACAACCTAGTACAACCCACCAATCCCTTAGGACGATCTCTACTTACTCTAACTATATTTTTAGTGAAAGGTAGTAGTGGCAATTTCTAAATGTAAAACTTGGACACATTCATCATAGCTCTACACCATTGTCTTTTGGTACACAAACTTTGGACTTTGGGGGTGACGCCCTGAAGGAACACCAATGATAATAAGAACTTGAGTATCAAAGTGATAAGGGGGCTTTTGCTTCAATATAGGGAATCTCATCTTTAGCAACCCAAAACATCGTTCTCTCACATTCTTCAATGACGAGTGCCTATAATTGAACACCTCTTCTCTACCACGTGGTCCTATAGTATTCCTACGATATTTCGGCATGTGGTAACGTTGACCTCGGAAAGGGGCCAAAAACCCAGGTTGATTGGCGTGCCCAGAGTCCACCAAATAAAACTTACCTGTCATATTAAATATTAATAAATAAATTGAACCTATTTTTAATGTTAAATATAAATGTCGAAAGGTAATTTTCTTACATTCAGATGCTGATGGAAAATACAAATCCTCATTTTGCATGCACTCATTTAAAATCTTCGAGTCATCGGCAGACCCTTCCCACTTTGCTAGAATGTACGTGAATTTCATATCAAAAGAGCATACGGCTATGACATTTTAGGCCGTATCACCCTTTCTACCATGAAAGGGTATTTGCTGGTCGACTAGCACTACAACATGGACATGAGTACCATCTATGACTCATACACAATTCTTAAAGTATGGGTAAAACTTTGACATTTTCTTTATCTTTTTAGGAATTTCATTCAAATCTGGGGGAACAATAATCTTAGTCCCTAACTCACAAAGAACTATAAGACAACGTGAAAATGATATGAAATTATGGATGTAAAGTGTTGGAATCTTTTATCAACGACACGATTTCTTTCATTGTGAGACACGGTAAGTAGAAAAATTGTAACTTGTTCTTCTACTGTTACAAATTTAGAATCTTTCAATCTTAACAATTTCAACTCACGACACAAAGCCCTAAAGGTATTGGGGTACATCCTAAAATTTTCATAAAACCTATCTTCATGTCCATTTAAAATCTTGAATACATAATCTTTTCCCTGGAATCCCAACAAAGTTGTTTTTCAAAATGTTTATCATAGTACTCATATATGGCTGTAATCAATACAATAATTTCCTTCTCATCACCATCATCATACAACATTAACATTGTCCTTGTATCCATATCTACTATCATATTTAAGAATAAACATAATCAGTTGTTGTAATGAAAATTAAAAAACACAATGATATAAGGAAAATGGAAGAATATATAGTAAATAATATAGTTATTTAGTAATAATATAAAAAGAAAAAAAATACATAGCAATTAATACAATTATCCAACAATAATGTAAAAGCAATACATATAGAACAGAAATACAGTCATCCAACATTAATGTAAAAGAAATAGATAAAGAAATTAAATATAGTCATCTAACAATAATGTAAAAGGAGTTATAAAATAGTCATCCAAAAGTACATAAAAGTAAATAGATAGCAAACATATCACAGAGGTTGATTCATCACCCACCCAACCTTCCTCTTATCAGGAATGCGAAGAAATATGTCCCTCCACAACTTATCCTCATACAACATCGTTATGATCTTCGCATAATGGACATCATCAATCCCTACTAATGTGTTGACGAACCTAAGGCACTCTTCAACCTGGGGATCTATTTCTTTTTTACTGGGAGAATGACCTTCAGGCATTTCTTTAACACGAGATGGTAAGATGATTCTACTATTGCTTTCACAATTCGTTCGGCTTTCATGTTCCCAATATCAGTCAAACATGCCATCACTTAAGACATTATGGAAGAAAAACTTTATTTCTTAGGTTTCTTACCTATAGGTTTGGGAATAGGACTGAGGTCAATAAGTGCTTGTATATCAGTCATGTCCACATTGCCCTCAATGTTATGAATTGCAGCTTCATGTGTTAACACTTGGATGGCTTTGGGTACTCTTGTAAAAGGATGAACATACCTACCAGAAACATGTGTATCCCCAAAAATAGTTATCATCTTCCATAATGCTTACACCCCATTTTTCTGAATTTTTTTCCATTCTTGATAACTTACTAAGGATACCAGAAGTTATATGGGCCGAATACGATCTGCGGACGTGGCATCGGGGCAAACAATTGAGTTCGGCCTATACAGGAACACCACAGAATGGGCCGACCTCGGAGGATCCATCAAAGAAGGCCAAGCCCACAAGAAAGAAGGCCTAAGGCTGATAGTCCAATAACACCTGTAATTGCCTATAAATAGGCGGTGAATGGAGTAAAAAAAGAGGGAATTATTGTGAAATGTACTGAAATTCTGTCAAAATGGAGGGAGAGATTTTCTTGCATTTACAATTGGCGCCGTTTGTGGGAATGATGAAGAACATTCATTCATGCTTGATCGATATCATGTTAATTCAAACTGATCCGTGAAGACGAAGCAAGATTTCTAGAAATTGAATCCAGATCGGAGAAATTGTAGTTTTTTCTGAAGGAATTCTTGATTACTATTGGTTTTGACGTGTTTACGTTGGAATTATGCAGCTGAGATTTGCTTGATCGCAGCTAGACCCAGTGAGTTGAAGCTAGAAAAGCTCGGATCTAGCGAACTGTGATCGTGATTCAGTGAATCAGAGTCCAGATCCGATGAGATTTGCATCAGTAAAGCTCAGATCTGATTAAGATCTTGTGATTCATGCCTTTGCTTCACTCCGGAATCATGATAGGAGGCGAGAGCTCCAATCCGGTGGAGAATGTCCAGCAGATGAAGCTTGATGAGTTGATGAACATGATCGAAGTTCTCAGGAGAGAGAATGCAGAGCTGAAAGCTGGAATGCAGCGCCAAGAGGCTCCAGTGATTCTGCAACCGCTTCCGGTGGGTGAAGAGGTTATGCATCATGTTGTTGCACGTCAAGGTGAAGAGGAAGAGAACAATCTGCCAAATCCTCGTCATGAGGAGGTTAGGCCGGACGATTTGCCGCCAAATCCTCGTCGTTTTGATGATCGAGAAGGCTCAATTCACTTAGATCCACGGCGTGAGCAGATCAGGCGGAACGAGGCAATAACTTTTAATCCGAATCAGGAGAGGTTCAACCGAGAAGAAGCTGTGGAGTTTGGACATCACAAAACCACACCGATTTGGCAGAAGGAATACATGGAGGAAAGATCATCCGATTCGCTTTACCGACCTTCAATGGCCACGTTAGACTACCGAAGCTCAGAAAGGAAATCTACGGATCAGAGAGCTGTCGTAAGGTTCCATAAGGAGAATGAGGCCCTTCATTCAGCCGCTCGGACGGTTGACTCACCGTTTACCGATGAAATTCTGAATGCTCCGAGTCCGAGAAAATTCTCCATGCCAGTTTTCATCCTGTTTGACGGAACTACTGATCCGATCGATCATGTGTATCATATCTAATTGAAAATGGCTCTGAACACGGAGAACGACTCCTTAATGTGCAAATGTTTTCCAACAAGCTTAGCTGGACCAGCAGTTAATTGGTTCAAAAACTTGCCGAGGGGATCGATTGATAGTTTTCGAAGCCTTTACGATCGGTTCATCAGCCAGTACTATGGGAATAAGCGCCCGGCAAAAGATGTCTCCAGCCTGTTCACGATGCGGCAGCATGAAGATGAATGCCTCCAAGCCTTTCTTGCCAGATTTAATTTAACCAAAAATATGGTGATCGAGTGCTATCCGTCCACGGCGGTTCAGGCATTCAAGCTAGCCATGATTCATGGGACCCCGTTCCACACAAGTCTGGTGGTGAACACGCCATAGACCATGGATAAGCTGAACAAAAGAGCAGATGGATTTGTCCGTTTGGAAGAAGAAGAGACAGCTAATGCAAGGAAAACGTCAATTATATCAACGGAGGAAAAGTTCAAAGCCAAGATCAGGCAAAAACCAGCTCTATCGCAGCGCAGATCCCTTGGACAGCAGAAAAAAGGCCCAGGGAAGAGGAATTGGTCACTCCATTGAAAGTAACTCTAGCAAGGCTGTACCAAGAAAACAAAGATAAGTTCCTACCTCCTTTACCTATCAAACAACCCCTGGAGCAGAGAGATAAGTCTAAGCATTGCGCTTTCCATTCTGACTTTGGCCATCAGACTAACGAATGTAGGAACTTAAAGAGGCAAGTGGAGATATTGATAGCCAGAGGGGAGTTCGCAAGTTATATTCAAGGCACGGCGGTAGAGCAGAACTGATCGGCGGAGCAAGTGAAGAGGAATCCGAAGCTGAACTCCCATAACTCGCAACCAGTTCGAATAATTAATGCAATTCATGGCCGTCCTGAACGCGAAGAGTCAGATGAACTGCTTCGAGCACAGCTCCGCCAGGCGCAGATGAAGAGAAGGATAGGCAGTGTAAACACTCTGCACCAACAGAGCGCATCCACACAGATAACATTTGATAGAATAGATTTGTTGCGTGTTAAGATCCCTCATGAGGACCCGTTAGTCGTCAGTTTGACAGTGGCTGAATGTTTGGTACGCAAAGTTCTGATTGATCCTGGAAGTAGTGCGAACGTCATGCCGAGGGACACATTTGATCGGCTCGAGATCAAGCCAGACCGGCTCAAGCACACTGGGAATCCTTTGCTAGGGTTTGATAGAAAGCGAGCGGAGCCCATCGGTACGGTGGAAGTAGTAGTGCATGCTGCAGAGAGGGTTCTGATGGAGAGCTTTGTAGTTGTTGAGATTCATCCCTCTTACAACCTTCTGATGGGCAAAGGGTGGATCCACAGAGTTCAAGGTGTTCATTCCACTCTGCACCAAGTAATGAGATGCCTGGGGCCAGACAGAACCAATGTGACATTCATGGGGACCAGGTTGCAGCTAAGGAATGTTATTCAGTAACGCTGAAATATGCTGGAAAAGGGAAAGCACCCATCCGTTCGGCAAGCCCGAGATAGCAATTACAGGAACCTCCACCCAAGCAGAATGGGGAGGAGGAGCCAGTGGACTTGATTGAAGAACCCCTAGTTGATGTACAGATCGATCAATTCCGACCAGAACGAACAACCAGAGTAGGGGTAAGACTTGCTGAGGGGGAGATACAGGAGTTAGTTGATTTCTTGTCTCAGAACGCTGATGTATTTGCATGGAGCCACCTAGACATGCCTGGAATCAATCCTTCCGTATCCTATCACTCCCTGAACGTTAATCCCAATGCAAGACCTGTAAAGCAGAAGCAGCGAAGGTTTGCTCAAGAGCGTAACCGGATCATAGCCGAGGAGGTTGATAGGCTGCTTGACGCGGGATTTATAAGAGAAGTGTACTATCCCGACTGGTTGTCAAATGTTGTTGTTGTTGTGCAGAAGAAGATGGGAAATGGCGAGTGTGCATTGACTTCACCAATTTGAACAAAGCCTGTCCGAAGGATAGCTTTCCGCTGCCCAAAATTGATTAAATGGTGGATGGTACTACTGGGTATGAGCGTTTAACCTTCTTAGATGCTTATTCAGGTTATAATCAGATCCCCATGAACTCTGCTGATGAAGAGAAAACTTCTTTCATTACCGAGCGAGAGACCTATTGTTACAAAGTTATGCCGTTCGGACTGAAGAACGCCGAAGCAACTTATCAAAGGCTTATTAGTAAAATTTTCAAGGATCAAATAAGGAAGACTGTGGAAGCTTACATTGATGACATGATAGTAAAAAGTAAGAACAAAGTTGACCATCTGAAACATCTACAAGACGTATTTGATGTGTTGAGACAATATGGAATGAAGCTCAATCCAACCAAGTGCTCATTTGGCGTGAGTTCTGGTCAATTCTTGGGACACGTAGTTAATCATAGAGGCATAGAAGCTAGCCCTGCCCAAGCAGAAGCTCTGACTAAGAATGCCGAGCCGAAGACAGTTAAAGAAGTGCAAGCACTTACGTGACGGATAGCTGCATTGAGCCGGTTCATTTCCAAATTGTCAGATCGCTGCAAATCATTTTTTGACACAATACGAAGCCATGGGAGACAAGTTTGGGGGGATGAATAGCGCCGAGCATTAACTGGTTTGAAAGAATATATACAGAACCTTCCGGTCCTGTCAGCTCCTGAACCAGGAGAAAAGTTATTTTTATACCTCGGGGTATCCAGCATCGCGACAAGTGGCGTTCTGATCCGTTGTAAAGAGGGGAAGCAGTATCCAGTGTTCTATGTTAGCAAAATGATAACTGAGGCCGAACGACACTATTCAAAGGCCGAGCACTTGATACTCTCGCTAGTGCATGCGAAAAGAAAGCTCAGGCATTATTTTGAATCCCATCCTATCATCGTTCTAACCACTTTCCCTATCAGAATAATCCTGCACAAGCCAGACCTCTCAGGGAGGATGACGAAGTGGGCCATAGAGTTAAGCTCATTTGATATAACATATAAACCCAAAACGGTAATCAAAGGGCAAACAGTGGCAGATTTCCTACTGGAATGTGATTCAGAAGACATGGAGGAAGACCTTCGAGGTTACTTGTGAAAACTCTTTATCGATGGATCCTCAAATCAGATGGGGGCAGGCATTGGAGTCAAGCTGCAAATACCAGAAGGCACGTCCCTAAGTCATGCGTTCTGGCATGAATTCAGAGCCACTAATAATGAAGCGGAATATGAGGCACTGCTGGCTGGACTTAAGCTCGCCAAAGAGCTGAAGGTCAGGAATTTGACCGTCTTTAGTGACTCGCAGTTAATTGTTCGGCAGGTGAATGGCGAATATGAAACCAAGGATGAAACGATGGAAGCATATCATTCTGCTGTTATGCGGGAAGTCAGAAACTTCGAAAAAATTGAATTCATCCAAATACCGAAAGAGCATAACGAAGATGCCGATCGGCTAGTATGTAGCGCCTCGGGTTCTGGAGAAACATTAGCAAAGGTGATTCCAGTAGGAATACTGAACCATCCATCCATTTTCGAAGAATCTTCGGGCCCAGATCCTTGGTAAGTGAATGTTATTCCATATGAGCCAAGTTGGATTGATCTAATCATAACTTACATTCGGGATGGTACTCTGCCTGAACAAAGAGATGAGGCTAGAAAATCAAATCGAACGTTGCAAAGTACGCCATAGTGCATAACTAGTTATACAGGAGGTCTTTTTCTGGGCCGTACTTAAAGTGTGTTACCCCCACAGAGGCTCGGCAGATATTGCGAGCTATTCATGAAGGTGTGTATGGAAATCATTCAGGGGGAAGATCCTTAGCACACAAAGCAATGACGTAAGGGTACTTCTGGCCGAACATGTTACGAGATGCGGAAGAATTTTCCAGAAGATGCGATAAGTGCCAAAGGTTCGGACCATTGATCCACCAACCACCTGAGGACTTGCACGTAATGGCCACACCATAGCCTTTCGCACAATGGGGGATGGATGTGGTTGGTCCTCTGCCAACTGCAAGAGCTCAGAATAAGTATGTATTGCTGGCAACAGATTACTTTACCAAATGGGTAGAAGTAGAGCCATATCCGAGCGTAACGCAAACCCATGTAAGACGCTTCATCTGGAGTAATATTATTTGCCGTTTTGGTGTCCCGAGGTCGATCGTTATGGATAATGGGACTAATCTCGACAGCAAGCAAGTCAGAGAATTGCTGGAAGAATATGGAATTAACCAAAAATTGCCAGCAGTAAGTCATCCCCAGGCCAATGGACAAGCAGAAATTACGAATAGAACAAATTTTTTTTGTATCAAGAAGAAGCTGGAAGACCATAAAGGGAAGTGGCTGGACGAACTCCCGAACGTCCTATGGGCTTACAGAACGACCCCTAGACGGCCGACCGGGGAAAGCCCATTCGCCATGGCATACGGAACCGAGGCAGTCATACCGGTTGAATATTTGGTTCCGACTATCCGAAGCTTAGCATGGAATCAGGAACAGAATGACAAAATGCTGAGATTTAACCTTAATATGTTAGAGGAAAAGAGAGATGCTGCAGCAATAAGGCTTGTATCCTATCAGCAGACACTAGCTAGCAACCACAACAAAAGGGTAAAGCACAGAGATTTCACACTTAGCGATCTGGTTCTGAAGAAGAAGGTAGGAATGGTTAAAAAGATGATGTCACCTTGGGAAGGACCATACAGAATTGCAGAGGTCATAGGGAAGGGGGCATATGTACTAGAGACCATGGCCGGAAGGTTGGTTAACAAGCTATGGAATGCTACATCTTTAAAAAGGTATTATATGTAGAAAGTTTAAAGTTCTAATTCTGGCATTACTCATTTTCAGTTGTACAGAATTCCAAAATTTATAAAAAGCTATCTTCTTCTAAAAAGTCGAGTTTATGGAAACAGCAAAGTAAGTGGCAGCTAGCACTATGAGCCGAACGCCAAAAACTTGCCAAAAAATAAAAGAGTGAAAGTGGCAAGTGGCATTCTAGTCGAGCGCCAACCACTAAGCAAAGTAAGTAGCAGCTGGCACTATGAGCCGAACACCAAAAACTTGCCAAAAAAGAAAAGAGTGAAAGTAGTAAGTGGCATTCTAGCCGAGCGCCAACCACTCAGCAAAGTAAGTGGTAGCTGGCACTATGAGCCGAACGCCAAAAACGTGCCAAAAAATAAGAGAGTGAAAGTGGCAAGTGGCATTCTAGCCGAGCGCCAACCACTCAGCAAAGTAAGTGGCAGCTGGCACTATGAGCCGAACGCCAAAAACTTGCCAAAAAATAAAAGAGTGAAAGTGGCAAGTGGCATTCTAGCCGAGCGCCAACCACACAGCAAAGTAAGTGGAGTTGGCACTATAAGCCGAACGCCAAAAACTTGCTAAAAAATAAGAGAGTGAAAGTAGCTAGTGGCATTCTAACTGAGCGCCAACCACTCAGCAAAGTAACTGGCAGCTGGCACTATGAGCCGAACGCCAAAAACTTGCGAAAAAAATATTAAAAAAAATGTGTGGCAAAGTGGTACACTAGCCGAACGCCAACCACTGACATACAGAGAAAAATCAGATCAGATAGCATTAAATCATTAAGTAAAAGGATTTATGGCAAGAGTTCAATCAAAAGTCAGCCATCTCATTAATAGTGAAGTTTCAGAGTTACAAAAAATGAGGTATACAGATGACAAAAATGTAAAAGGAAGGAGGTCAGTACATCAGAAAAGTTCTAACTAGAAGCATTTGCCCCGTCAGTTTCTTGATGGTGTTGAACGGTCCTCACATCACTGTTGGCGGTTCCGTCCTCACAAGGAGGAGAATCAAGCTGAATGACAGAATCATTCTGCTGAGTTCTATCCTCAGTAGCATTGGAAGAATCATTTTGCCGAGGCTCATCCTCAGCAGCAGTGGCGGATGGAGTCACGGTGGACAGAGGAAGAACGCCCAGAGGTTGAGCAGTAGAGGGAGTAGGAATAATCCTGGAAGAGGCAATCTCTTGGCATTCATCAAATATGCCCTCAGCAGGGGTGGAGTCTGGGTCGACATAAACCCCCGGAGGATCAATCTCCAGCTCTTTGTCAACCTCATCAGGGGTAGAACCGGCCTGATCTTCAGTTGGAACATGATCGGTATAACCCTCTCGGAACTCCTGAGCATATCTGAGGGCCCCAACCCTGGAAAACCGAGCATGCAGAGCCAGCATACCACCATTTACCTTGCTGATGGTGTTGAGTAAAACATTACGCTCGTCTAGAGCTCTTTTCTCAAAGGCCATCCGAGCGGATTGCTCATCACTCAGAAGGCGCTGAAGTTCTTCCTTCTTAGCCTTAAGAGATTCTCGCTCGGTATGCCAGACACTCTTCTCAAGTTGTAGAGCATCCTGAAGGGAGTCTGTCTCCTTTTTCAGAGCGTCCCTCTCTTTCTCAGCTTTGTTGAGCTGACCCCTCAGCTCGGCATTCTGAGAAACTAAGGCATTGTTCTCTTTATTAGCT